GAAGTGTTCATGACCTAGTTTCTCCCATCCCTAACGGGGTACGAAACGGTCAACCGTAACGAAAGTTACCACTCGTCGAATCAGGCCGTTCCAAAATTATATTAAATTATATTCCATATGGACCATTTCTGCAAATTACCAAAATGTTTTAACGGATGTTTGACGGTTTATGGATGGAAGGACCAATTCTGCAAGAAACGTTTGAAATAAGAGTACAAATGTCAATTTTAAAACGATATGGATCATTTTAGCAAAAAGTGTAAACGTTGGGACCATTTCTGCTAATTACCCAAAACACAAACATCTATAAATTTTGAAAATCGGAACTTAATCATGATTTTCAAATAAAATAATGATGAGTGTCAAATCATGGTACTGACTAAAACGTTTTCATCGTTGTCACATAAATATATCATTGTGCAATGAAAAAAGAATTGAATCTATTTATCTTTCAATACAAGAAATTGAATTCGAAATACTAAAAGTTCAAGAGGAAAAACTATTTAGAAAACAAGAGAAAAAAAATATTAGTTAGCTTTCAGAAATACAATATATTTTTTGAGGTAAACAAAAATTTGTAATATCTCTCACTGAAGAAATACTACAAATAATTTATCAAAATCTACAAATAAAAAGCGACGTCTAGACTCAAAACAGTTTCAAACTCGTCTCGTCCCGAATGTTTTCATGCTTTTTATTTATTTTTTATTTTTTTCACTCTTAGGCGCACTTTTTTATGCCTTTACGCTTTTTAGGCACTTTTTAAATTATTAAATAATTTTTAGATTTATTTGTCCACAATGAACTTGATAATTGTTTGGTTGGTATATATTATATAAAATCGATTATTTGTTTCAAGTTGATGGAGTCAAATATCCCTAAACAAAGCCTTAACACACAACTATTAGGGGTGTCCAAAAGTTTCGAACCGAATCGGACCGAACCGAATCGAGCGGTTCTTCATAAATTAAATACCCGAACGGGTACCCGAATCAAGAACCGATGTGTTTGGGTTGGGTC